AGACGGTAACGTAGCATTCGATTTTAGCCCTCAGAGGTGACAACGCATCTGCATTTTATACTTAATCGAGGATATATGTTAATGTCTATGGCTATGAGCATCCATTAAAATTTAACAGCACTGTGTGCCCGTTTCTTACTCTTAGTTTTATATAAAATTACATACAGCTACATTTATATTATTCCATTTGTTAGTTTTAGCTTGTTTTTCAAGTATGCTTACCCTGCTAATATTCTCTAATTAACTAGAATAAAGCATTTATTTTCTAAAACAGAAAACTAAAATTATCATATAGTCCTTCTCTCCACCATATAGTGCCTAGAACGCTGGTTGCGGTCACTCGCTGAATTGGCTATACTTAGTCTTTGAGTGAGAAAAGAACCAGCCCTCTAATATCAGTGTTGGCAGCAAGTCGAGGATAATTTTCCTTTAGGAAATTCACAGAAGTCAGTATAATAGTAATCTCTTGGATGATATCATATTTGGGCTATTTTCTCTCTTTAAACGCCTCTGAATTTTAATACTCGTAAGTTATAAGTTTATACAGTCAGTAGGTGTGAAGTAAATTTAGGAGAGGGTTAGGTTCAAACTATCCTAAGACCGCAATTTATATTTTTACTAAGCGCAACATAAGTATCTATGAGATATTTTTGTAATGTATGGTTTTAACTAGTCTTTAAACTTTTTTTTGATAGTTTAATGGCTGATTAATTTAAATAATATTAGTACTTTAAATTTAAGAGCCATTGAAGCTCACTATCTGAGCGTTTGTCGTAGATACCTATCCTATTAGGCGAGCAACTTCAGCTCCTCTATCCCTGCCAACAATTTTAAGTGTAAATTGCAATTTTAAGTGAAACTTTACGACCCATTAAAACTGTTGACAATCGTTTTAAATGTGCAGAACTATTCGCCTTTTAAATTAATTAAGAATGATTATTTAATCGATTTAGTTACTTATTGTACCGTTTAATTTATCATCATTTTCATCATTACAGCTCGTAAGTAGTATACTGCTGAACAAAGGCCACCCCTGTAGCTTGCCACAAAGCTCGGTCCTTAACAACTTCTTGCATCCATCGAATACATGTATGGTTCATCAGGTCATCAATTAATAGTTAATTAATCTCAACATTGTATGAACATATACTTTGACCATAAGTTAATTTATGGTTTATTCATCGTAACCAACAAATCACCATCACCATTACAGCCTGTCACGAGAATCATCAGTATCACTTGACTCCTTGTATCTTTTATGAAGTTTTCATTTTAAGGGGTAATCGTCATTATCATAGTATAAAGACCATTAACGTTTTCCCTTGCGTTTAGGTTTCACTGTATTTTTTTTTATTTAAGCAAAATGAAATACAACGTCGAATAGTGAAGAAACATGTATGACTGAGGAAAAAATATTTTGAGTACAAGTAAAGTCCATGAACATGTAGTGGTTCTATTTGGTAGTGGTGCTGGAGGTTCGAATGCCGCACGAAACATGTCCTTTAAATATTTTTTTCAGTTTTGGATATTTGTTCATTCAAATAAATTTCTCTGGTCTGGGTGTTTCTGCGTGTTGAATTTATTTCTTTGGAATGCATACACTTTCCAGATGTAGATAACGGAAGTAGATTAACTAGCTAGCAGACTTAGTTCTGTAGCATATGCTGTAAAAAAAGATTAGAACTCTTACCAGTGTTGAAATAGAATAATTTACTTTAGTTATTTCCATAGCATTAAGTCGTATGGTGTTTTGCTATGGGGACACGCGACTGACACTGAAATTATATTTATTTTGCAGAAGAGGGCCTAATTATATATTAGAGCAATATATAATTTAAAACCAAAAGAGTCACTGAAACAAAAATTTAAGGAAATCAATATATTAACTCTAGCCTCTCAATACATTTATGAAAATGTAATGTAGGTACACAAAAATAAAAGTAGTTTTGCGAAAATAAGTGATATTCATTCTGTAAATACTAGGAGCAGACACAAGCTAGTAATACCAGTTACTCGACTCCACCGAGTCAGTAATTCATTCTTGGGGCGATGTATACGCTTTCACAACAAAATCCCAGAAAATATATAAAATTTGTCATACACAAAGTTCAAAAATGTTATTAAACTAAGTTTGTATAAAAAGGGTTATTATAATATTAAGGAATTTATGGATGATAATAACCCCTGGGAAGGGTGATCGCTACCAAGCTATTTCTAATTTGTCTTGTGTTGTTAATTGTAAACATGATTGGTAAGCTATTTTTGGAAAAAAATAGTCCCGCTGGGTTTCTTGCTGGTTCTTCCCAGGACAAAGGTTTTTTTTGCAAACCAGTGGTAAATGAATAAAGTGACTTTCAATAAGTATTGTTATAATCTACATTGAATAAAAAAGTTTCTGTTTCTGTTTCTGTTTCTGTTTCCAGGACACAATGCTAGTGCTGGAGTATAAAACAAAAAATACAACCATATAATTAGATTTTTTTTGGTGATATTCGTGTAAATATCAAAAAAACATTATAAAAATAAGGAAAACAGAACCAAAGAAGAAGTAATATTGAAGATACTTAGTGTATTTATTATCCTAAGTAAGTTCAATATTATTTCTTCTCTCACTGAAATACACAGAAGAAGTAATGTTGAAGTTACTTAGAATAATATTTATCTTTTAACAACTAGGCAAGATGAAAATTCTAAAAGAGAAAAGTATTAAAGCTCCGACTTCGGATGCTATTATGTGATTATTATTTTTAAGTTTTTTGAATTAGACTTTCAATTTTTATTTAAAGTTTAATTTTCTAGTGTGGTAGAGCCATGCTGCAGTTATATTAGTAGTATAATTGTAGCACGAATGGGTCGGCTCGACCGGGGAAGGACCACGTTCTCACAGAAAACCAGCGTGAAATAGTAGCTTAATGCTGCTGTGTTTCGTATGGTGAGTGTAGAGAACCGGAGACCCTTTTTACTGGAAACAAGGCATTCCATCTTAGTCCTCACGGGTGACAACGCATCTGCATTTTGATTTGTAATCGCGGATAGATGTAGATGTCTATGGGCCGTAGCTACTACTTACCATCAGATGCTCGTTTGTCACCCTATCCTATAAAAAAATTGTCTCTTTTTAGTTGACTAATGGATGTTACAAGCTCAACGTAACAAATGGAATGTCATTTAAATTTCATCCCCTATTTTTCCGCCCTTAAGAGTTGGATTTTTTGTTTAAACTTATATAGCGCCATCTCTAAAGTGTAACCTCTATGATAAAAAAAAACTATTGAAATCGGTTCACAATTGATAATGATATCGGGTAACTTACTTAAAAAACAAATGGTCATTAGTCATGGAACATACCAAATTCAGAACGTCCCCATTTTTGAGGTCGTATAATTTAATAAACGTAAATATTGTAGAACTATTTTTAAAATAATCTTATTTTAAAACTAAGATTTAATTAATTAAAACAAACATAAATATAAAACGGTTCCAATAGTAATACACGATATTGTACCAAGAATCTGCAGACGCTACCGCCAAGTTTATTATTTCTTGTTGCGGAACGTATGTTAAATTTGTATTATCAGCCCATAAAATTCCGCTAGACGTGGGTCGCTAGTATTGTGGGAAAATCAGTCATAATCGTGCAATTGATTGCAGCGGATCGATGTTCGCAATACCAGAGGTCTTGAATCTTTTACATTGTTGGCCTGGATGGGTATTTTACGTGGGCTTTTGGCGTAAACAAGGTGGATATGCAAACGTTACTATGACATCTTACGAGTAATGACTTCCAAAATGCTTCTGGGATTTTACCACATTCCTGTGACGTCGCTCCTCGTCGCTTGGCAATTAAACTTGCAATTTGGCAACAATACGAAGTTACAATGTTTTTAAAAGAAACAATTATTTAAGAAAGATTAACGTAGGGGCATTGGATTTACAAAGTTACAAAAAGAGAAAATAATACAAAAATTTACATCAAGAGGATATGTTTGTATTTCTGTAAAATTTAACATTAATTCGAAAAATAATCAATAGGGTTGTGAAGAGGAAGGTAAATGATTCCGCAGGTAACATGACGGTAAGTCATTCGCTACATGCTCATGAAGACTAAAATCGTTGACGGATGTACATAGATGCGTCGTCATATTTTACTCTCCACACTGGAATACACAATTCGTTATACTACTGTTTTCCGGCATAAGTACCTGCCCGCATTACATTTTCCATTTTCCTATCAAATAAATAAATAAATAAGGAGGGCTATTTGGTAATCTGTACTTATTTTATTGAAAAGGAAAAACATATTTTCTTTATAAAAATATTTTGTAATAATAGTCATTACTATATAAACCACATTAGATATAGAGATACGATGCTCGGTAGCACAGTGGTTAAGCATTCGGCTGAGACGGTGCGGGCCCATGGGTTTAAAAACCCCACGGAAGAAGAGTTTGTATGGCTTATAAAGTTCCGGGTCTGGATGCTTGGGCTTGTGCAATTTATGTATGTGGTAACGTTTTAACCAAAACACGACATAAAATGAGAATGTTAAATAGGTAAGTACAACATTCTTTCATTACAGCCTATCAAAGTCCACTGCTGAGCATAGTTGCCACAGTTGTCACGCTTGGTAGGCAGGTTGGCAACAACAGTATCTTCAATTTCCAGTAGTTATTAAAAACACGCTGCTGCCAATCTCCTGGTTTGTTACTCCCCTTACGACACCGCCTACCCCCTGTCGCCTCCTACGACAGCGGTGGGATGATATGTGGTTGTGAATATTCTTATCCACCAGATAATAAGGTCATTAGAGGTCAATTTATGTAAAATATCGAAATATAATATGATCACGTTAACTCACAAATTAGCGTGTAACATAGGGATTCTCTGGCAAGGGACGTTGGCATTCGAAGTGTTGCGAGCATCGCGCGCACTTGTCGCTTTTGCTAGATTTTCGCTCAAACAATAAAATTATAAGCATCTAAAAATAACGGTGGGGAGCGTTGCCGACGGCACGATCGGAGAACTGGGAGTCGCGCCAGTCTGGAGGTCTGGAGGCGTGCGGAGCGCCCGCGCATCAACAATCGACTACTCCCAGGTCTGTACCTCACCTGTTCCATCTTACAATGTCATTATCACTATTATTATAATACGCGCAAAACAAAACTTCGATCGCCACGTGTACACTTTTGCGTGGCGTCTAATGATGTCGTTTTGGCAAGAAAAATAAATGTTACTAAAAATTCTGGTCACAAAAATCTAAATTTCAGTTGTTAGTTGAATGCCAGAGTAATTAGATAAATATAACTTGCAATAACTAAAGCTCGGAGAAAATGTTAATATAATGCCAAGATAACTTATAGCTATACAGTTTGCTTTCGGTACATACTTAAAGATAATTATAATTAGTTCAATATTTTTGTAAGTGAAACTTTCAGTTAATTGTGCAAATTTATTCTATAAGTTTCAAATTAATACGTACTTGCGGCTTAATATAATTCACTCAAAATATTTTGTTACTAACTTCGTTATAACTTATAAGTTACCACTGTGTCTCAAAGCTTTCTTTAAAAGCTTTATATGATGTTTAATAATATTAACCTTACTTTATGGTTTTAAACAGTGTTATCAAAGAAAAAGAAATCCCTTTTCTAATACTAGCATATTGTCAACGTTTAAACATTATTAGAACTCACATTTGATTTAAAATTGGCCCTCTCAGTGTGAAGAAAGTAAATGATATTTTTATAAAAGCGTAGGTGGTAGATATTTTGTAACGTGTCTTGATGTTGTCGCAACAATAACGCAATATGAAGTTAATAATAAATGTATGTTTGAGTATCCAACAAGAATTCCTTACTTTACGTTATAGTTTTTAATAATTATTCTCCATTTGTAAAATATGCGTGACTTTAATAAAGCAAAATGAAGTATTAACAGTAACAACAAATTTTTACATTTAATTCCTGATGCTACAAACTTTACGATTTCACTTTTTAAATATCAAAGGTGGAAATTGAAATACAAATAGATTGATCAAAAATAAAAATGACCAAAAAAATTGATGGCTTAGGAGCAATGCACAGTGTTGTATGGTTGCCAGCTAGCTGCGAACTGCGGAACAGCTTATTATATGACCTAGAAAAATTATTCCGGGACTGGATATATGTTCACGAGCAATTTATATAATTATGTAAAACGCTTACACAATATAGGAATAATCCTAAGGTGTGGGTAATGTTTAAAAAAACTATTAAGATTTTTGTTTAATAGTCATGAAAACATAATACAAAATTCTAATACCGCTACATTTTTTTTCATATACAAAGAGTGTGGACAGGCAATTAGCTAGTGAGCAATTGTGGCAATTAATTAGTAGTAACCAGTGGGTTAACGCTGGGAAGTATACTAGGTCCAGTAGTTTAAACGTTTTATACATAAACTTATCTAATACACAATAAACGTAGGTAAACACAGTAGTACGTGAGTGACGTATTTAGCTACCTGTGTACGTGTGTGGGTGCGGTAGACAGGTGTCTGGCCGAATAGGTAATAATACTCATATACGCTTCCTGCACGCATTTGATTCACAACAAGTAGCCACTTAACATGAGGTGAGCTGTGAGTTCTACTGTCATTTCATTATATAAAAAAGTAAAACAAAATTGAAATTGATTATTACTCTAATAGATAAAGATCTTAAAATCGTTTAGCTCACGTATTTTATTTGTAATTTCAATTGATTTTTTTCTATAATTACTACTAGTTAGCTAGTTAGCTATTTATTTATATTTATATTATTTATAGACTGCCTCGTTGGTTCAGTCGTTGTAGTAGTGCGACTGCTGATCATGAGGTCTTGGGTTCGAATCCCGGGTCGGGCCAAAAATTAATTATTGAGTTTTCCGTCAAGAAATTCTCAGTAGTTGCCTGGAGTCAGGAAATTGACGGTGTCTCTCCCCGTGCCTCGGAAAGCACGTAAAGCCGTTGGTCCTGCGCCTAATTTCTCTCCGGTCGTGTCGGTTTACCGTCCCATCGGATTATGAGAGTAAGGGAATAGAGAGTGCACCTGTGCTTGCGCATATACTTGGGCACTATAATCCTGTCCTGCGCCGATGGCTAGTCTCCGTTGAGGCAGGCCACCATGGCCGGAATTCTGTCTGGAGGACATTATTATTATTTATTGGGGTATCTATATAATTTTCTCATCTGGTTGGGTTCTATAAATATATAATTTTAAATTAAAATTAAAAGATAAATATACATAAATATAATTAAAATAAAATAAATACATAAATAAATAAAAGCCCAACCAGATGGAAGCCCTTGGCAAGGGAGACAAGACGGCCGAGGGTTAGGAGGAAAGGGAAAGAAACCGGTGGACGATGCGGGTGGTATCGAGGAGCACCGCCTTCTGCATTTGTGCCCGGAGCGGTCCGTCACGGAGTCCCATTAGCCCATTCGCAGAGACGACTACAGGAATAATTTCCGCCGGCATACCACCCCACATGTCGGTCACCTCGTGAGCCAGGTCCAGATATTTTGTTCGTTTATCTGTTTCGGCTTTCACGAGGTTCTCGTCATACGGAATGGTAATGTCGACCAAAAATATGCTTGACTGTGCCCGGTCCATCAGCAGAATATCAGGCTTATTCGCAAGAATAGTCCTGTCCGTGATGATGGTCCGGTCCCAGTAGAGCCTGGCGTGGACATTTTCGAGCACGGTTTCCAGCAAGTACTTGTAATAAGGCAATTTCCTGTCCACGAGACCATATTTCAGAGCGAGCTCCTGGTGTAGAATTCTGGCTACTAGGTTGTGCCTGTGCAAGTACTCAGAGTTAGAAAGCGCCGAACAACCGGAGATGACATGCCTAAGTGACTCCCCGGGATGGTGACAAGCTCGACAGACGTCGACAGTGCCATCCTTTAGGATGTATCTCCGATAGTTGTTGGTCTTAATAACCTGATCCTGTATTGCACAGACAAAACCCTCGGTTTCCCCGAAGAGGTCACCGAAATGTAGCTAGTTGAGGGAGGCGGTTGTATCTACGTGGGGCTCATGTAGAGCCCTGTAGTACCTTCCGTGGAGCTCCTTCTCCTTCCATAAGGTCTCCCGGTCGGAAATGCTCTGTACTGCCGGGTCCTGCCATTGCTCGTTGGCAAAGGATAGAGGGGTAAGTCCTTTATCACTAGAAATGACGTCATTATAGAATCGATCATCCGATCTCGCCAGGAAGTAATCACGGCGGCTGCAAACTTCGCGATTATTCATGGTCGTTTGCGATTCTCTGCTTCAGGTCGTCTATGCGCTCCGTCAGTTTTTGCATTATATCCGGCTGAGATAAACTAACATTTGTCCCAGCCGGATATTCCTTGGCTTGGTATTGCCTGACCTGAAGCGTATCAGTCTGCCGATGAGGGCCCTAGCCTTTGCGATACGTTCTTCAGTTCTTGTTCTCCAGGCTGGGATAGCACTACTTTAATAAATACATTAAAAAATTATTTTTCAAAGGGTAGTACTTGTGGTACACATGTGTATCTTGATCGAGCGAGCGTAAGGTGTTTATGTTTGGTACACATGTGTATGCTAATCGACTCTACAGGTTAAAGAAGCAGTAGTAGTTTCGGATTATAATAAAAAATTTAAAAACTTCAGAAACTGTTATATTCTCAAGTATGTATAGTATAAAAATATCATATTTATTTATTGTGTATGTATTTATTGTGGGTATTTGTGTATATATATATAAAATAATATTGTATGCATGTAAGTAGTAATGTAAATGTATATGTATGTGTATTGTTTATTATCATTATATTATAATTTTGTATTTTTTCCTTAAACCTTTAATTTTTTTTTTAATTATGAGTTTTGCACCCATCACTAGATTCTCTGCACAAACCAAAGGTAGACTGGTAGAGAATGCCTTTAGGCATTAAGTCCGCCTTTTTGTACATTTCTTTTATGTGTGCAAATAAAGCTTAAATAAATAAAAATAAATAAATAATTTGTCCAGTAGCGCGTCCAGCCGTGGAGAGTTTGGCGCCTATAATACGGCAGACTGCCAGTGCGGCGCCAAAGAGAATTGAGTCCGTCTCGCAAAGGTCCCGGCTGGCTTCCAAATAGGTTACCAGCATTGGGTTCAGAGCCCTCACGATAGCCCGATTCCGCTTGCTGAGGGCTATGCGGGGAAGTCGCGGTCGATTTTCGAGAGGCCTACTGCGCGTTTCCAAAATCGCCTCATCCAATATACTCCTCATTTGCTCCAGTTCCAGTTCTTGGGCGACTGTTCCATCATCGTTTGAATCAACCAAAACTGGGATATTCATGGTGGCATCCACGTTTGCCGGTTGCTCTGCAAGTTGTGGCGCCGCATCTTCAGCCGTAGCATTTTCATCCGATGAAGGAACAGCTCACGTCGTAGCCGTTCGAGTTCGGTGACATCAAATGTACTTGAGCGCAAGATATACCGAACTCGGTCTGCCAGGTTTTTCTCGGTGACGGTTACAGATGGCTCCAGCTCAGCAAAAAGTCGATGCATCCTTGCCCGATACGCAAAACCTCCAATTTCTCCCCCTTTCGCCCTAAAATACCCCCGAAATGCGTTGCTGTTCATTTGAGTTGTCCAACGCATGCGGCGTGCTCCACCAGTGGCGGGTGCCGATTGCTGGGCCCGCGAAGAGCCGCTGCCGACACCAAGCCAGCTGGTGGGGATGATGGATGGGAGGGGCTGCTGGGTGGTCGTGCAGCACCTCGCACTCGTTGGCTGGCGGTTCGCATGCTGTCGCGTCCAGTGCCAGCTCCAGATGCGCCCTGGCGTCCTCCAGGCAGCGGCCCTTTGCGCATCCTATTCAAATCCATCATCCATTATTATTATTATTATATTTATATTTTAGAAACAATGTACATGCTGGCTTACAGTATGCCCAAAACGTCGGCATGCTAATTTACAAATTATGTAGCTATAAAAGCTTTGCAATATTTCAAACGTACGATATATTATACGGTAGGCATAGATAATATAACAAGGTAGTACAAGGGTCAAGGAAGCGAAGAAGTTTTTAGGTTCCCGTTTATGATTGTCCATCATTTGTGAT